ATACATATTATATATATATAAAGATGGATATATGCACACATATAATTATGAAATACATGTTTACAGCCAGGAATATATAACAATAATAATAACAATAACTGGCATTTACATAGGCTTTAGGGTATTTTTCATGTCTCAATTGATCTTCACAAGAACCTTATAAAATAGGAATTATTATTATCCGCATTTTACAGATGAAGAAACTGAAGCTGAGTGAGGATAAGTGACTTGTTCAGAATCATGTATAAAGTACCTGACACATCATTCAAAGTCAGGTCTTCCTGACTCCATGTCTACCAATCTATCCACTAAAGCATTTAGCTGCTGCGTATCTCTGATTTTGTTGGCAGTTTCCTCATTTGGAATTCCCTATGCCAATGAAATAGGTATTATTATTATTATTATTAATTAAAAAAGAAGATTAATAGTTCACATGCTTATAAATGCTTAAAGAGTTACAAAGAATTTTCCACACAACAGCCTTGTGAGATGGAGACTCGTAGGAGCATGGATTTAGAATTCTTTTTTTTTCTTTTTTTGGTGAGGCAATTGGGGTTAAGTGTCTTGCTCTGAGTGACATAGCTAGTGAGTGTTATGTGTCCAAGGCCAAATTTGAACTCAGGTCCTCTTGCCTCCAAGGCCTGTGCTCTATCCACTACACCACCTAGCTGCCCCTGGATTTAAATTCTTAACCCTTCATTTTACCAGTGAGGAAACCGAAACCAAGAAAGGTTAAAGGTAACATGGCTATATATATATATGCATGTATGTATGTATGATATATGTATGTATGCACACATTGATATATATAATTGGATCTTTGCAAAACTCCATTAAGTGATATAAATGAAAAGTATACATCTATGTTATAGACTCAAACTTTCTAATAAATGGAGTGTATTAGTTCACTAAATTTACATTAACATCACCCTTTTTTGTTTTTACATATCTAAAATAAAGATGATATAAGGATATGAATTCTTATATAAAGATATTTTGTACATGCTATGCTTTAAAAGATAGATTTCCTACAAACTTGAACAAGTAATTATTGGAATTAATGACTTAGATCTTGACTCATATAGTTTCTGAAGGCACAAATTTTATTGATGACCTATTTCATGCTCTGATGCAAACTTTCACATTATAAAAGGTCATTTAGTAAATGAAGTATTGATATGTTCATTGTTTTCAAAACAGAAGAAAGAATGATGATCTCATTCTTGAGTGGGCAAAGAAAAAAATATCATGGCATTTAAATTTTTTTCACTAGTAGGAAACAGGTTCCTAGGTCTTATCTTAAAAAAATCTCATTTTCATAAAACAGCATTGATAGAAATGACCATTATTAGATAAAGATATATTGAACTTTAATAATATAGTTATACTTTCTTACAGCACTGGTTAATACATTCTGTGAATATGTTATTTATGCATTCTCAGTTCTAACATAGTAAAAAAATAACTAATTTGAAAAGAAATCTAAAAATACCTATTTGTCATACATATTAGTTTGTGTTTTGAAACTGCTTCACAAGGATAACCAAAATGGAATTTTAAAATTCCCTGGCTGCACAATGTTGGCCACAAAAATTTCCCTGAGGTTTCTTGTTGTCTCTAGCTCTCTTTCTTTTTCTCTCTTGCTCTCTTTTCTTCCCTTTCCCTCTTTCTCATCCTCTCCATCTTTTCTCTCTTTCTCTCTCCCCCTCTCCTACCCTCCTTTCCCCTCCCCAAACTTTAATGTCATTAATTCTTGTATTTCTTTTCCTCCCAGAAAGGAAGAACAAACAAACAAAACACTCTCTGCCAGTGAATGAATGTTTATATATGGAGAGGAGAAAAAATATGTATATATGTATATATATAAATATAAGTATATATATAAATATGTATATATAAGCACTTTTTATGTATGTGTATATATATATATATATACACATACATAAAAAGTGTTTATTATGCTCCAAGCAATATGCTAAGTTCTGGGGATAAAAATACAAAAATAAAGCCAGTCCATGACCTCAAAGAACTTTTATTTTTCGATAGAGCAAGAATTCTTAATCTTTTTTTGTGTGCTTGTGAAGTCTATGGATCTCTTCTCAGAATAAAGTGTTGAAATTCATAAAAAATATTTAGGAATGAAATCAATGAATCAATGAAATCAACAAAGGAAATCAATCACAGTGAAACATGATTTCTCTGTCTCTGTCTTTCTCTTTCTGTCTTTCTTTCTCTGTCTGCCTCTTTCCTTCACGAATGCCAAATCAAGAACATTTATAATAGAGGGAAACAAGACATATAGGTGAATAGTGGCCAGGGCCAATCACTTTCTTACTGAAAGTTATAGACATTGATTCTGGGGCCTTAGGGGATAAGACTGACCCACACCATCCGAAATTGCAACATTGATTTAATCATGTTTCCAGAACTGGAGATAAGAGGATGGTGGTAAAGAAAGGGCAACAAAGGAGTTGGTAAGGCTCAGAAAGAAATGGCTGGAGGTAGGGAATGAAGTGAAAGCCCATGAAACTAGTCAGCAAGGAATGCACTGGACAGTGAGGCCTCAGGGGAAAACTCTAGGGCATGATCTCTGGTGTGGGCTCCAAGGCAGCTGGGGAGGGTGTAGAGGAAAAGGCCAGAGAATAGGGAGTGAAAGTGACCATCATTAATGTCTACTCTTAATGAAGTTACTGGGAACTCCAAATTTGAATGACTTGCCCCAGAGTAACAAAGTCACATATATCGAAGGAGGAACATGTACCCAGGTTTCTTGAACACAAAGTTTCTTTCCATTATTCTAGACTGTCATGGTCTTTCTCTGGCTTTTCATCATGAACTAGAATCACTGACTTTGGTCAAAATGGGAAATCTAATTAAGCAGATATTATTCATTGACCAATTTCCCAAAACAGAGGGAAAAAATGACTGGGAACTGTTCTTTAAAAAAAAGAAAATTTCTCTTTTGCCATGACCTAAACAAAAAAGAACATGTAATAGGGGAACATTTGCAATTGAGACAAATTGGCTAATGTTTCAAAGAAAAAAAATCTCTTTTTGTTGTATACAATGAGTAATTATTATTTTAACAACAGCAATAGCAACAATTCTCATGCACATAAAGCTTTAAAGTTTTAAAAAATATTTTCCTCGCTAAAGCCCTGTGAAACACATATGTTTCCAAATCACAGATTTAGAGCTGAAGGGGAGTTTAGAGTTTGTCTAGTCCAACTCCTTCATTTTATAGACAAGGAAACCAAGGTCAAGAGAGGTTCAATGACTTGCTCAAGGTCATACAGCTATTAAGTGGTTCATTACACATGAACAGTGTCAGTTCATGTATATATTTAAATGTATAACATTAAACAGATTTCTTGTGCAGAGCTTACAATTTTGTTATAGTAGATTCATTTCAGATTCATTCTGTGATACGCTTTATATGACTGGACAAGGAAATAATGAATCTTCTGATTTCTATTTCAGTGAATAAAATCTGGAATTATGAAGCAATAACTTGGAGTTTCAGTTTGTTTTCATTTTTTAGTATTCTAATTCAGATCCATCTTAAAGATCTTTAGATGATTTCTTTTGTATAATTTCAGAAGGAGCTTTCAAAAAGTATATGAATTAAAATATATTTAATATTGGAAGGATCAGATTGATAAATTCTATTTGTTTCCTTTTATGGAAGATCCATTTAAAAGTGGGTTCCATAATATGTGAAGATTTTTGAAAAAAACAATATAACCACATATAATGGGGGTAAAGTTCCAAAACCGAAAATAAAGTGAAAACCAGGGATAGTTAAAATTACCCTTGGAACTCCCTTAAGGTCACCCATAGTAATTTACAACACTGTATTTTTTTAAAAAAATTGTAGTTGAAAGGAGCTGAGTTCTCTTTCAAGGAAGGTAATCTATATCAGAGAACTTTAGACCTGAGCTGTTTGTTACAAATTGAAATGTAAATTATATTTTTCACTAAACCCAGTTAATCTGTTGATCAAGGTAGAAGAAAAAATCAGTTCTTCAAGTAGAAGGGAGGGGACAGGTAAATACTTAACTGTCAGGAAAATTATTAAAGGGAAAATACTTGAAAGAATTTCACATATGTGCTGCAGATCATAGGTACTTCACACATCTACGAGATTGGAATCCTATCCATGCAACTTTTACTCCTGTGCTTCACCACTAGACAGAAATCAGAACACCACCATAGTGGTATTCTAGCTTGCAAGAAATAAAGAAGGCCAACTAAAACTCTCTCTCCTATTAACTGCTCTACTCTAAGTAGAGGGCAGCTTGGTGGCGGAGTGGAGAGTGTGCTAGACCTGGAGTCAAGAGCACCTGAGTTCAAATCTGGCCTCAGACACATATTAGCTGTGCGACCCTAGGCAAGTCATTTAACCCTCAGTTCCTCATTTGTATAATGAACTGGAGAAGGGAATGGAAAACCATTCTAGTATCTTTGCCAAGAAAACCCCCAAATGAGGTCACAAAGAATTGGACATGACTGAAAAGACTGAACATAACCCTGACTTTGACAACACCACGAATTAGATTCAGCCCAGGAACAGCAAATACAGTTCTATTTTAAGCCTACTGAGTAGAATTTAGGATTCTGTCAGTATTATTTAAAGTATTACATCTCCCTCCCTCCCTTTCTCCTTCCTCTCTCTCTCTCTTTCTCTCTCTCTCTCTCTCTCTTTCTGTGTCTCACACACATATTTTAGTAATATTGCTGAGCTTGTAATTCAAATCATGAAAATTTCATATGCATGTAATATGACACCAGTATAGCAAAAGAAAGAACGAAACTTAAGTATTTTTCTGATTTGATTAAAACAAAAGAAGGAAGGGCAAGAATGTTATATTTCTCTTCGAATGAATCAGTCAGGGTGGGTGCATAAGAAATACCCCTGCACCTAATGACTAATAAAACAACATTTACAATAAGAAGATTTGCATGCTCTTATACTGTAATGATTATCATTTTAAAACTAGCTTTTTGCCTTCGAGCTATCGGGGGAAAGACCTACAGGAAAATTACTGTCGAAATCCTCGAGGGGAAGAAGGGGGACCTTGGTGTTTCACAAGCAATCCAGAGGTACGCCATGAAGTCTGTGACATTCCTCAGTGTTCAGAAGGTAAATTAACACATTAACGCATGGTGGGACACTCTGTTTCCCTTTAATATGGAATTCTAACCCTCCTGACTGTTAATAGAAACTAATCAAATTACCAGTGGAAATGGGCATTAGGAGTGGTTTATATGTGATTAATTTAGAGATTAATCTTTAAAAGGATTGTTAAATATGGAGGGAATATAGTTCTAGTTTGAATGTGAAATAATGAACATGGTTCTCTCCTGCAGGTGGCAATAGGAGCTGGCTGAGTTAAACCCCACAGAGAGAGCCTTGAGGTAGCTTCAGGAATCCCTTCAGGGGGAGGACAGGAGAGGGAGAAACTCTCTCTTTCATTCAGGGGTATGCACGTGTGCACACACACATTGCTCCTCCTCGCTTCGGCCCCTTCCTTACAATTCCCAAAGGGGCAGGTTAGGGAGTAGACCTGTTAGTCATGTATCAATTCCACTCACCAGACAGCTGCTTCTGTGGAAGCTTTGTCCTGGAAGACACCGGAGAAGAATATAGGATTGGGACAATGCAAGCCTTTTTACTCTGTGTGCTTTGGAGGACATGGTACGTGTGCTTTACTGGACATATGGGGAGCACTAAGCACAACACAGAATATTATCTGAGAGGTTACAGTAGGGGTTCCCAAGCTTTCTTGATTGAAGGCACCCTAAGTCTATTTTTATTTTTTTTTACCTCCTCCTGCAGCATAAATGGGCATTGTCCATGCTATTGCAGTGGAAAACTGAATGATTCACAAGATGGAAGAATAAGCATTCCAGCATTGTCTGTGGTTATATTTACTTAGGTAAATCTGGCTGCTAAATAGCTGGAACCATGAATTTTGTCAGAAATTCAACATTTTAAAAAACATACATCCAAAACATGAATTCTGCCGTATTAAGAATTCAATGTTTTCTTTTTTTTTATAAGTACTCAGGGGTTTACTGGAATGGTGCCCATTTTTTCTAGCAAGATGTTTCATTAGTCTGCTGTGAACCAAAGGCCTTGCTTGACGGTTTTCCTCCACGTACATTAATTTGATATTAGGATGATTTTCATCACTATCACTGTTGGATAATTGTTACAGAGTAATTTTTTTAATTGTTCATTGATTTAAAGTTAATTTAACTTTGTGCTAGAGCCAGTTCCATTTTTGCTTTGTAAACTATCACTTTCCATTCCATATCACATTCTGTTCATTATAACTTTCTCCATGTTTTCTTAAAAAAAAATAAACTTGCCTATGGTAACTATGAACAAGTCTGTTTTGTATGAACATGGGTATAACAAAGCATTTGAAGTAAATTTACACATGGGACAGAAGTTCCTATTTTTAGAGGGTCTCCATTGCTGCAGTTTATGTGGAAAAGTTCTGAGCTGTCCCCCAAATGTACTGACTTCAGTCAGATGACTGGCTGGCTGCTTGACTGACTGACTAACATAGACTGTTAGAGGGGAAGTGAAAGCAAAGAGCACTTTTCCAGCTTCCTTTATCTTATTAGCTTATGAACTTTTGGTCTCGGAATTATTTGCATTCATTACTACTCACTCAGAAAAGAAGGCTTAAAATTAGGAATAAGAGCAAAGAAAAGGCTAAGAGATGACTCTACTTCCCTCCCCACTCCACCCCCATATCACTACAGTTTACCCTCACTCTATTTGGAAATTATTATAAATATGAAATGGAAATAGAATATTTGGGATCTTGGACTAATTATCTTTATAGACTAATCCTGTCGCTTGAAGAACCTGTGCTGTTTGAATTAATGTTATAATAAACCATGTTTTAAAAGGGTTATAATGCAGTTTCAATTACAAAAGGATAGTCTTTTATTTTTGCAGAAAAAACCCAAAGATAGACATTATATAGAATTTATGTGGTAGCTGGGGGAAAAAAAATCTCCAGACCAAAAACTTTTAACTAGAACCTGTGTTGAAAGTCTTCTACTCAGGTATGCATATCGTTACTGTTATTGTTATTTTTATAAATAAAATAAAGTGGGACCTATCCTAAGATATCTGTTGCTCATGCTGCAATTTGCCCAATAGTTGTCTCATCATTTAATATACAAGTTTTGTATTTATTTTTATGTTTCATGGGTTGACCACCATCACCAAAATACTTGTGCCTATGTCATATTTCTAGTGAGAAAACTCTTGGAATTTAGTAAGATTGGTCCCCACAGCAGATATATAGTCTGTCACTGGGACCATACTTGAAACCTTTCCAGCTTATTAAGACCTGCCCAAGTTTATTTTTTGATGGTATAGCCTTTTAATATACAAAGTGACTTAAATGTTATGATGAGGCATCACTTTCTACTAAACTCTTCTGGGACAAATGATTTGATACAGCTTTTGCAATTTTAACTTTTAAGATGGTAGAGACTAACCTAAGCCAACTAAAAGTTGTTTGAAATTTAAGTGAAATACGTTATAAAGTAGGTATTTAACATTAGATGTCAATTACTCTTTTCTTTGAAATTTGAATCTTTCACGTATATGTTCTATTAACTGAAATGACAAATGTTCTCTTAGAGCATTAAGAACTAAGTTACACATGATATAAGGAAAACACAACTTTTATTTAATAGGCACAAAATTTGACACAGAAAACTCAATCTAGAAAATAACTAAGCACTAAAAAATAAAATCATAAGCATGATTACACCATATATTTTTTAAAAGTTATTCAAATGAAAGAGTTTTGTCATTATCTGTTGTTCTCTACCATATTGTTAAAGTCCCTCCACCAATGAATTCCTACTAATCCTTATTATATATGTACCCTACTCAATTACATTATCCATTTAAGGAAATAAATAAGTTAACTCTATGTTTATGTGTAAAGTTTGTGAAATGATGTTAACAACTCAAAAGAAGTTGAGAGGAATTAGCATGAGCTTTACACAAATAAACATCAGAACGATTTTATTTACCTGAAGATGTTTTTTTCCTAGCACAATATAATAAAACTTAGTAAAGGGATTAAAAAATAGCATAGGCACAGTTACAGAATATTTATAAATCATTCCTTTAGTGTATAAACACAGATCATCTATGTTTTTATTCTGGACAACTCATGGAACACAAAATAGATCTGTTCATTTTTTGTTTATTGCTGCCATCAGAAAGATGTTAAAGTTGCATCAGTCTTTATGGGTTTTTTTCTTGAACTTTATGTCCATCATTTAAGTCATGTCTTTTCTTACCAAAAGGAGGCTACTTAAAAACAGAACACTTTATTTGGCTTGTGTTTATGTGGCTGAGTACAACATTTTATTTTGATCTTTTAAAGTGAAGGATTCATTGTTGCTGCTATAGAAATAAAAAAGATTTTATTGATGCCTTAAAAATAAGTGAGGCAGGACCAGTAGCAAAGTGGAAGGGCCATACTTATCCTTTTCGGTGTTATAGAACTATTGCCACCTGCTGGGGTCCTTTAGCAGAAAGTCCTTTCAGAAAAGGATTTTTACTCCCTGGGCCACACCATTCCAACCAAATTTGATTGAGATCTTGGAATTCTGAAATTTTGAAAAGTGTGTATGTGGACTTGGAATGGGGAAAAGAAGATACTCCTTTGGTTTATTCTTCTCTCATTTTCTTGCCATGCATTGGATAACTGAAGGTGGTCCTCCTGTGCCTGACTAGAAACATGGGTTAGGAAAAGAGATTCCCAAAGAACCAAATAATTAAAGCTACTCACCTTGAGTAAAATGATCAAGCCATATTTCCCTTCTTCCTCCTATTCTCCTCTTTGACTCAGCCAGGTAAGTATATAGTAGAGAGTTCCCATCACTGTTTAGAAAGGGAAGAGGGGAGGGAAATGCTGAAGGGTATGACTAATTACACTTAAAATTGAGTTTTCTGATTGTGTGGATGTATGTGTGTGTGTGTGTGTGTATGTATGTTTATATGTAATATAAATAATATAAATATACATATATGTATGTATGCAGTTAGATCTTAAATCTTAGGGATAGTGTCCAAATTCCTCAGTCTGACTTTTAAGACCTTTTATTTTTTGAATCTGATGCCACTCTTACCAACCAATTACATTTATCACTATTTCCCACTGCACCCTCGACTATTAATCCTGTCGGTTCATCCAGTAGTCTCATTCCCTTTACTTAGGGTGTTCTCCCCTCATCACCTCTGATCATATTCCCTGCCTCTCCAGTTTTTCTGCCTCCTCTCTTCCTATCCATATCCTAAGGCCCATCTTAAGTCATGCCTCTGCTATTATGCCTTCCCTGATCTCAGCTGCCCATTTTATATTGCAGAACTTACCTTTATAACATATTCTGGCATGTAATCATAAACTGCTGTGATGGACAATCACATATCATCTCTGTTATGTAAATCTTGCTCCTCCAACAACTAGATTATAGGTTCCCTAAACACAGAAGCCTATATTTATATTTATTGTTGCACCCTTTCCCCATACCTCTTCTCCATCTCTCATAGCACTTACTATAATGCTGAGTACAAAGCATGTATTCAATAAATAATAATGAGATTGACTGTAATAGCCAACATGCATATAATGCTTTCGTTTACAAAATTAATTATATTCATTATCTCACTTGGTCCTCACAATTATAATGTAAGGGACAATTACTGTTATTGTGTTAAAAACATATTATTAGGGAAAAGTTATATCTGTAGGAGATAGACATAGGAGACACTCATATTTAAGCATTATATACATACCATTTACATGGAAAGCTTTTCCATAGTCTTATCCTAAGAAAAGGAAGGAACAAAGAGAATTTCACTTTATTTTGTATAAAAACAACCAGCAAGGTATAGAAGGATTGGAACTAAATAATTGTGTGAACCATTCATATGTGAAACTAAAATGTGCTGACACCTGACCTATTTGAAGGGTATCAGTGTGAAAATGAGCCATGGAGAGGACTTGGGTCAATCCAAATGCCTTCAGCAGTGTGCTGTTAACCTCCCTCATTTGCATAGTAGGTAAATGCAGAATGCAGGAGGCTGGGGCTGCTTAGTATCAGGGTGAAGGAAAGACTGAAACAGTGCTTTGTCTTTGCACAGATTAGCCAACAATGAAAGGAATCAGAGTGGGAAACAAAGTGGTGATGTGTTTATACTTGAAACACTATTATAAAAAAATGATCAATAAAAGCTCATATATTGCTGAATCTAACCTTCAAACTTTACTTGTTTATCACTGGGGCAGATTAAATTTGAAGATGGTTAATTTTTCTCCAGTTTAATATTAAAAGACACCAAATTCACCTGAAATAATAGCAGTAGACCCCAAACAAATTATTTAATGGTTACAAATTAATTTTCAGGAAAAAAAGCATTGATGTTTTTCTTCTGTATGTATGGTATGCCACAGCATCATTTAGTCATTTGAGGAATCCCATGTTCAGTTAAGGAATAGTCAAAACAGGAGATGAGAATAGAGTGGGTTTAGAGTTCTCAGTATAACATTTGTGAAGGAACTCCTTTGTCTAAAACAGAAATATTAGTTTGCTAGATAAGCTATTTATGAACAGGGATTGCTTCATAATTGGTCTTTTTATCACCAGCACCTAGTAAATTTATTGTTCTGTGAAATTTGGATTCAGTCAAAAGGCCACACTTAAGGATCTAGAAGGCCACATGTGGCCTTAATGTTGTAGGTTTCCCACCCCTGACCTAGCACAATATCTGACATATAGTAACTGCTTAATAGATGCTGGCTAGCTCACAGGTTCAGTTTATACCTTTTAAGAGGGGAAAGTACAATGAATTAAACGTAGGACAGTTTCTATTATGTGATTTTAATAACAATTAAAATATCTCCATACAAGAAAAATTTCAGAGAAATCCTATTTGGGTCAACATTATTATTAATAGAGTCTGTGGATCAATGGGATGCTTAAAAATATATCCATTGGATAACACATAGTTTCTGACACAGGAGAGTATTCTGAGTTCCTAGACTGTTGGTTACCTTCCCGGTACCTTTACCTTGGGTGTCTGGGTTTTATTTTATTATAATCTACTGGATCATTATAGGGTGAGTAACGTGCTCTGTCACAAATGGAGATAGTACAGAAAACAAATGGTTTTAGGACTTCTGGGGGAAAAGTAGCCTTGGGAGATGCTTAAATTCTCAGTCTGCTAGATGATTTTTACATGGTGATTAAGTTCTGATTTTGTTCTTGATCTAGTTGAAACTATCAAATCTTAGACAGCTAGTACTTCACATTCAGGGTAATCTGACACCATCCTAAATATGTTTTAAATTTAAGGTTTTGAATTTGATTTCACAATACACCATCTACTATTATACTATTCTTAAGCTGACTGAAAGGATATTTTTATATTAACATAAAAAAACAATTTTATAACATCCTAAGCTAGACTATTGAATTAAAGTATCATTTAAAAATTTCATGGTTGAAAGATTGATGTTTTAATACAGCAGTGGTGTCCTTTTTTGTTCTGTCTTAGGCTACTAACATGCTAATATTTACTTTTTTTTTTGGTAGTTGAATGTATGACTTGCAATGGGGAAAGTTACCGAGGTCCCATGGATCATACTGAATCAGGCAAGATATGTCAGCGCTGGGATCATCAGACACCACACCGACACAAATTCTTGCCAGAGAGGTAAAGATGTCTCCTGATTCTGTGCTGGCTCTAGTTTTGAAAGTTCTCCATATATCACCAGTTCAAGCCCTTTAACATTCCCACTTTGGGGCTGATATTGACTGTACCAGTAGACCAATAAACATAGAATCAGAAACCTCCCCTTAATACGCATGATACTTTTGACACAGTTCTCAGGACCATCAGAGTTCTGGGAAAAGGAGTTCATGATGAGGACATAATTACAGAGTTATAGCTCCTTCTGGCACTAACTCAAGTCCCCAGTGGTTGGAATTCTCACCATCAGGATAGTTCTGGGGACAATGGTATCAGTCAGGGTATGGTAGAACATTTACATGACTCATTTCCCTAACTCTTGCATATCTTGGGGGAAGGGAAAGTGCTGAAGAGGAAAATTCATTAATAATCCTGCAGGTTTGAACTACAGGAGCAGAGGATAAATTGGCTATTATTAAGATTGGCCTTTACGCCGTTCTAGAGCAGACAGTACTGTGCAGTGAAAGGAGTGCTGAATTTAGAGTCAGAGGAATTGAGTTTAAATTCCAGTTTTGCAACTTAATATCTATGTGATCTTGGGCAAGTTACTTTCTTTTGGGGTTTGGTTTTCTTATCTATAAAATGAAGGGTATGGACTAAATGACTTCTAAGTTCCCTTCAAGCTCTAAATCTATGATTCCATGAAATAAGATTCTTCCTTTTTTAGTGACATGTGCCCTTTCTGAGTAACATATATTATTAATATAGGGTATATCTCTACAGGTGATGAGAAGTAGAAACTTAAAACAAACACAAAGCTAAAGCATAGGGTTGTTCTGATGAATTAGCCAGACCAATGTTTACATGGAAATTGTACAGTGAATGTGGATGCATCCAAACTCCCAATTCCCCCCCCCCAAGAGATAGTTTGGGCCTGAATTATTCTGATAATTATCTTCATTATCCATTTCACTTTGCCTTGAAGTTTTATGGTTTTTTTTTTTGAGTAAGTTACTTCAATTTTAAATATATGAACAAAAAATGCCAACAAATAATTATAAGGAAACTTCATTTCCCCCCTTTTGTTCAGCATTTACTAAGACATTTGTTTGGTCCTTTTCTAATTAAACCCCTACTTTAAAAATGGCACCTCTCTTTTAGGTAATACCATAGGGAATATGGTAACAATTAAAATCAAGCAACAATTTTAGACTCCGCTAAATTTAATGTAGAAGAAAGCAATATGTAAGTATTTGCTTTTTTACTACTGGGACAGTGAGGACATGACCTAGAAATGCTCTATTAGCAGAATAAAGCTGTCATTTATAATGGAGCTATTGAAACACAATTTTCATTTTAAACTTAGATGTCCTACAAAAGGACCAGTTTTCTTAAAAAGCATTCTATGGCAGGTCATGTTTATATAATCCATTTTTAATTGGGTTCTATGAGATAGGGATTCAGTTTTGTCTTTGGTTCTGGGCCACCAGAAAGGCCTTAAATAATTAGCAGAGTTAACCCTATCTGGCGCCCCACACTCAATAGCACATGAATGTCAACCTTATGGTTGATGGGTAGCAAATTCTAATAAGGCACAACACCAATGAAACCTCTCTTTTTTTGCCTCATGGGATCTGTGCTTAGTTGAAAAGCACTCCTTGAACAGAGGGCTGGGTGGTGTTTCCAGGCAGATTTACATGACACGTTTCTTGGTGTGGTTTGCAGATATCCTGACAAGGGCTTTGATGATAATTATTGCCGCAATCCTGATGGCAAGCTGAGGCCATGGTGCTATACTCTTGACCCTGACACCCCTTGGGAGTACTGTGCAATTAAAACATGTGGTGAGTTAGAGACAAATTTATTGCTTCCTTTTCCTCTTGAAGGCTGGGTCTAAGTGGACAATTATCCATAAGACAGGTTAACAGCTCATTCCACCCATTCTTTGAATTTTACTGTTTTTTAAAAAAATTTAAAATAGGTTTTCATTATAATCTTTACTCCTTTACATGCACATAGTGTCATTCTTTTCAAAGTCCTTTATACATTTAATTTCATAAGTAAGGTAAAGAGACAGGTAATGTTCTTCATTGTATCAAGTGGATGAACATATGGAGAGAAATTGAGATTAACGGACATGTTCAAGGTCTCAGAGTCAATGGAAAACTGAAAACTGAGACTTCTGTTCCTCTACTTCTGGTCCTAAACTCTTTCTGTAAAAGAACATTTTCTCCCCAGAGAGAATCCATGTGCTGCCAATGTAACCTGGGCTCTCTCTTGATAAATGACATATATAAGAATTAAGGATACTAAGCATAATAGAAACTACTAACACCTTTAGTGCACTACTAGCTAATCCTGGTCTAGCTGTCTGCTCTCATATGCAGTCTGCACAACACAATTACAGTTCATCCTGCCTTATTGCAGCTCTCTTTCCTTCAGTATTCTCTTGCCTTCACATTAGGCTTTGCACAGCCAGTTTCATTACTCAATTCAATTAAAAAAATTCATCAAGTACTTACTGTGAACAAAGTACTATGATAAGCACTGGAAACAGAAAGCCTTAATATATATATATATATATATATATATACATATATATGTACATATATATATGTATTTAAATATCTTCTGTGTACAATTTTTTTGAATGTTGTGTCCTCCATTAGAATGGGAGCCTCTTGAGAGCAAGAATGTTGTTTCTGCCTTTTTTTATATTTCCAGGGACTTAGCACAATTCCTGGTGCATTGCGAGTACATAATAAATGTTTTTTAATTGAATGACTGACTAACTCCCCTCCTTAGTACTTTTGTTTGCTACTACTAATACTGATTTCCCTTTCCTCCTTTCTCAGTTTTATTTCTATAGTTAATTAATTCAACTCCACTCTACCACTACTTTGGATCCTTTCCTCCTTTGTCCTGCCACTATGTATCCCTTGCCAGCTATACCCCTGGATTACTGTTTACATGTTACCAATAAATCCTGAAGAAAGTCAAGTAACTAAGTTGACTCAGTACAGTACAAATTTATGTCATCTAACTTCAACTGTGAACTCATTGTAGTAAGATAATAATTTTATTCCTCCCTAATTGATTCCTATTCCCCTCTCCACAGAAGCTATTCCAAACCTTTACTTCTTTCCACAAGCCTCCCCATATCTTCTCAGCTGAGGACGTTGCCTTTTATTTTTTTTGAGAAAATTATTTTCCCTTTCTCTTCAAACCAAAAGCCCTGCCAACATCTCTTACTTTCTCCTTCATTTCATCAGTCTCCGAATGAGGTGGCCCTTCTCCTTTGTAATATAACTCCTCTACATGTGCCCTTAATTCCATCCCTGTCTTCTCTAGCAGATTGTCCTCACTATCCTCACTTCCTTTTTTCTAATTTTCAGTATTTATCTACTGACGTCTTCCCTGCTGCTTACAAACATGCCCAGGTCTCCCCCATTCTTAAAATAAGGGAGACCCAAGATTTTGCTATCATCATGGGCTGCTCTTCTATATTTCTACCTCCCTTCTGAGAAAATGCTGTCTATGCTCATTGCCTCTACTTCTTTCACCCAGTCATCACCCCTTGTGTAATCTGGTTTCAGCCTCATCACTCAACTGAAACTTTAAAGTCAACAGTATTTCATATTTAAATGCTCCTGAGATCTCATCCATTTGGGAATTCCTCTACAAAAAGCAAATCACAGACTATCTATGCCTGTTCTTATCCTGTGTAACTCTTGTCTGTGTTCTCCTAAAACTTCACTATATGGGGTCTCTAACTTTCTCCCAATATCTTGAATGTACAAATGGAGCACTCTGTCCATCTTTCATCCCTCACTCATGTGATGATTCTATCTTCTGTTCCTATCATACAATGTCTTGATGACATCCTTTATTGCTGTTCTACAGAGCTCTTCATTGATCATATTTTGCAGCCTTCTCACACTTACCATTGATATAAAGATTGCTTTTTACATATATTTATTTTTAGTTCCTCAGAGGCAATGAGGTACCTTGTCTTGCTGCCATTTAATAACACCAGTAAAATGTTAGTATTGAAAAGATGGGCCTTTTCTTTCATGGAGAGAAGGGGGTCATTAAAAGAAATCTGCAATTCCCAATGGCAATTCTGCTTACTCTGTTCTTCCTTTTCAACTTTGTGCTCAGCTTATTTATTAGCATTTGTATTGTCTGTTCCAGATAAATTATATTGTTGGACAAATTATATAGTATGTCCATCTAAATGCATGTTGAAATCTGTTCAACCAATATTCTTCATTCTCTTGGTTTTTCCTCTGTGTACTGTCAGGCCAAACTCCTCTGAATGTGTAGAGATCTCTTCCAGGAGACTCTAAAGAGTTCTGTATGCTGTGATAATTAGATTCCTGATATATATTCTTGCCCAGATAAAGGGTAATCCATTACCATATCAAAGTAGATTTCAGAAGTGGCTGTGAAAAAAAGTTTTGAATTTCTTTTAGCCATTGTACTAGTATTTGATTGTAAATTCAGAGTTATGCAACCAACATGTAAGAGAACTTTTGGCTTCTGGGTTTGCTGGGGAAAGTCTCAGAGCAAAGGAAGAGGGTTTTCACCTTCAAACAGGAGAACTCAAGGTTAAGCAAAATAATTACTTAAAGAGAAGGTTTCAAAGCAAAAGATAAAGGGAGAAGGGGAAGAAAATGGAAAGACTAGAGAGAGAAAATGAGTGAGACTACCAAGGTGCTAAAAAGGTGAGGTGTTAACTAGATGATAAGAAGACTCCAGAGTTGAAGACTACCACAGAGAGTCTACCTCAGCTATTTTCCTGAGAATTGACCATAAGAACTACTCCAGTAAATAAAACAAAGGATTTGAAAACCCAATTATATAGCAATATAGTAATAGTACTAATAATCACAATAATGCCAGTTAGTATTTATATTGTGCTTTCAGGCTTATAAAGTGCCTTACATATATTATTTCAATTGATCATCACAACAAGAGAAAGTGAGAAAGTGAGAAAGTTGTTATAATCCCCGTTTTAGAGACAAGGAAATTGAGGCTGGAAGACTCTTGCTATCCAAAGTTCAGTTTAGTCTCTTTTCTACAAGACAGTGTAAAGGAGTAGGTGGAACACCTTTGTGTTCTCCAAGTTATGAATGAAATGTTCCTTAAAAAGAAGAAGAGCTTCAATGTGTAAACAAAGAAGAAAAAAGAAATGAAGATGAAGAGGGAAGTCCTGAAAGAGAAGAATTGCTGAAAGCTTTAAGTTAAGTAAAGATGTGGGTTCTTCTCATAGAAAAGGGAGCTCCTCCTTTTCATCTAAGGAATAACCATGTGGCTCTACAGTGCCACCAAGTGAGAGATTACCCAGTATGGGCCAGAGGAAGAACAAGTCATGGGAGTTAGTGACTGCTTGCTGAAGCAGCATTTGGTTGAACTAACAATAATAGAAAAGGCTGCTATATTCTTGGAGGATAGGTAACCAATTAATCAACAAGCATTTATTAAATGCATATGATGGTCTAGTCACTGTGCTAGGCACTGGGAATACAGAAATACAAAGACTGAAACTATTTCTAATCACCAGGAGTATATATTCTGATGGAAGAAGACAAAAAAAGTATTTAAATTATAATTATTTACAAATTATATCCAAGATGTCAGGGAGGACCTCTTTACTCTGATGGCTATTAAATCTTTTTTATAATTCATGTAGGAATAAGTGATACTGCCAGAAGGACCCACAAAAAATCTTTCTAAGGATTATGAAATTTCAGACAAGAAACAAGATTTTAAGGGCACAGGTAACTTTTTGACCACTATAGCTGATGAAAGACATTGACTTCCAAAAAAAGAGGCAGATTTGGGAAAAGAAGAATCAGTCAAGAAGATAACATTCAGCATGTTTTGGATGTTTTGATTTTGGATTTCTGTATTACGATTAAAATATAGGATTGATGGGCTTTTGGTCAGGGAAAGAGTGTGCCTAACGAGATGATAAGTATATTTGTTTGGAATCTTGCAAGTTTAAGCAAAAGGACTTTAAAAGGTAAATAAAAGGAAATAACTCATTGAAAGTAGAGGGTTGTTGTTGTTGTTGTTTTTTTTTTAAGAGCAGAGGCTTTTACATTTCTTTGTACCTCCAGCATTTAGCACAATGCCTGGATCATAATAGGTGCTTTATAAATGCTTGTTGATTGACTACATAGGAGAAAAGTTAGGTACTGTTAGGTACCACAGGTAGTAGCTATGAGGTAGGAAATAGAGAATAACAGTAGAAAATGCCAGAAATTCATGAGTGAAAATATCTAGGAAAGGAGATAGAAAAAAAATCCATGACTTCAATTTTCTATTTTAAAATTTGGTAGTGTGGTGAAAAGTCTTGAGATCATGCCATCTGAGGATCAATTCAAAGAACTTGGCATGATGAGAACCTTAACAAGACTATGCCTCTGGAAAGGTGTACTTCATAAGGGTACTTAGAGAACTGGTCTATAACTAACTAGTGACTTTTTAAAGATTTTGGTTAATTTTAGAAGTACTGAAAGTATAGAGAAGTAAAGATTTTTAAAAAGGGCAAATGAGTAGAAATTATAAATTACAAATCAGAGGACTTGAATTCATTTTTTTGGGTCAAATTCTAGAGGGCATTCTAGAATGTATTATTTGAATGGATGATTAATAAATAACCAGAAAAACAAGTGGTATTGAGAAAGAACCAGCATGTTTGCATTAAGAATAATTCCTAGGGACATAAAAAGGGCACCTCTTCCAAGAGGTCTTTCCCTTATTTCCACAGCTTTTCCTCAAAGGCTGCTTACTTTCATTCTTTAATTCTTTTTATGGCCTGATTTATATATATTGT